CTATATAAATAACCACAAAATCACTTTTATACATCAAAACTTCTCTCTTCAAAAAGCACTAATCGTCTTCTTCTTCTTCTTCTTCTTCTTCTTCTTCCTCCTCTCTCTCTCTTACAGTCCGCCCCTGAGTCAATCGCACCTTTACCCATTACCAATGGTCGACGTCGACCGGAGAATGACTGGTCTTAACCCGGCCCACCTCGCCGGCCTCCGCCGTCTTTCCGCCCGTGCTGCCGCTACCTCCACCGCCTCCTCCGCCCCCCTCCGCAACGGCCTCCTCTCCTTCTCCTCTCTTGCCGATGAAGTCCTCACCCATCTACGAAACTCCGGCGTCGACGTTCAACCCGGTCTCTCGGATGCGGAATTTGCCCGAGCTGAGGCCGAGTTCCGCTTCGCCTTTCCTCCTGATCTCCGGGCAGTTCTCTCCGCTGGCCTCCCCGTCGGCCCCGGTTTTCCTGACTGGCGCTCCTCCGGTGCACGCCTCCATCTTCGGTCCTCCCTCGACCTTCCAATCGCTGCAATTTCCTTCCAAATCGCTAGAAACACTCTCTGGTCTCGCTCTTGGGGTCCCAGGCCGGCGGAACCGGAAAAGGCCTTACGGGTTGCGAGAAATTCGCTTAAACGAGCTCCAGTTTTGATACCCATTTTCAACCATTGCTACATTCCCTGCAACCCGCCGTTGGCCGGGAATCCGATCTTCTTTGTCGATGAGAGTCGAGTTCTTTGTTGTGGCTTCGATTTGTCCGATTTTTTCGAACGGGAGTCTCTGTTTCGATGCTCTGCTTCCGATTCCGATTCGGGTCCTCTGTTTTCGAAACAGAGGTCTCTCGCTGAGAAGTCCTTTGGATCGTCCACGAATTTCTCGCGACGGAGCTTAGATTCAGGGGTTGTAAAAACGCCGAGGTGGGTCGAGTTTTGGAGCGACGCCGCCGTGGATCGGCGGCGGAGAAACTCGTCGTCGTCATCGAATTCCTCGCCGGATCGGTTCTTCGAGTTGCCAAGATCCGAAATCCCGAAATGGGTTGGGGAGTATATTGGAGAATTAGGATCAGTTTTGAGATCGGGCGGGTGGAGTGAATCGGAGGTGGCGGAGATGGTGGATGTCTCAGCATCAGGATTCTTCGACGGCGAAATGGTTATGTTGGATAATCAGGCGGTTTTGGATGCTCTGCTTTTGAAAGTAGACCGGTTTTCCGGTTCGTTGAGACGGGCCGGGTGGAGCTCCGAAGAGGTTTCGGAGGCGTTTGGATTCGATTTTCGGCCGGAGAAGGAGAGGAAACCGGCGAAGAAGCTATCAGCGGAATTGGTGGAGCGAATTGGGAAACTGGCTGAGTCGGTTTCCCGGTCATGATACGTGACTGTATTTTTCTCATTTTTAAAACAAAAATATATATATTTTCGAAGTTTAAGGCATTCGATTTCCGAACTGTATTTTACCCTTTTTTCCCCCTCTTCCTCGTTTTAGGTAAAAGGGAAAAAAAAAAAAAAAAGAAAGAAAAAAGGTATATGGAAATTACGAGTTTGTACTATTTGGACAAAGTTTATACAAAAGGATAAAAAATTATTTACTTTTTACTTTTTTTTTCACCGTTAAATTACAAATTACAAATAGTCTCTCATTGATCTATATTTTTAAACTTAGATTAAATTCCATTTATAGTTAAAAATTTAAATTTTGCCTCATACCATTAATATTATTAATGAATATTGTCGTCACATAATTATCAAATAAAATTGAAATACCTTCTTCACATGATTAGCCAATTAAATCTACCTTACCTTTTTGGCCTTAACTTACTAAAAAGAAGAATCCGCCAATCATGATTTATACGATCTAAATAAAGAACATGAACGAGTATCTTTTTAAGTTTATCTCAATTATTTAAGATACATATCTTTCGTAAAAAGATGAGAGCGTTCAAATCTTCAAAATAAATCAAATAAATGGTCACTAAATACTAGTTTATTTATAATTAATTAGAAGATATTATTTGGTTTTATTACGTTGAAATGAAAAACAGCATAGTTTTGCTGAACTAATACGTACACCTACACGTGTAACTGTGCTTTGAGATTACAGTATCGAGATTCACACGCCACTCGCCATAATGCCGGGTTCTTATCATTTCATTACAAACATTTCCCTATTTTTTTTTTTTTTTTTTTTTTT